ATATCACTCAGAGAGAAATTTCAAGCATAATCGGCATTTCACAAGAATGTGTGGGTCACATTATTGCTTTGCTTGGCTATCGGAAGATCTGTGCACAATGGGTTGTGAAAACAGAGTGTCGACTTCTTCTGTGACTGCTTCAGAAAACTTGTTCATCATTGGCAGAAATCTATCCAATTGTCTGGTGATTATGTGGAAAAGTGAATAGTGGTAGTTAAAGAGCACATTCTAAGGATTATTTCTGCATTCGATTTATTAAAATATTCCCATCCAAACCCCAAGTAACGAAGGTGGAGGCATTACTTTTCATTCAACCCTTGTAGTTCCTCCACCACATCCTGATGTTTTTAACTATAGTCCCCATTATCTGCCAATCATTATCCTCTGCCAGTCTGTAGCTGTTTGCAGAAGCTGCCGTTAAGCCTCTGTGTAAGCCAAGAGACAGAGAGAGAGGGAACAAGCAGCTTACAACAACAGCCACAAGCTTCAATATGCTAGACTTCTGAAAGAGTTGAAATTAGTGGTTTAGTAACTGATACAATGAGGCTGTCCAAGTGCTCCTTGAGACTCACAGTTAAATAAATTGGAAGGACACTGTAACATTCAAATTGGCTGCCAGTGCATTTTGACGATTTATTGATTTCATCGATTGACATTTAACACTAATTTACAAAAAATGTAAAATACATTCAGAAATGAAGAGGGGAAAAAACAGAAAGAAGAAAGGAAACAGAAGACAGACATAGGAAACACAGGAAGGCTCCGACCCTTCAATCCTAACTAATGCAAAGACAAAGGGGACAAAAACTTATTTTAATGGTTTTTAATTGTGAATTTTAAAAAATACTATTTATATTTAGTTCTGTTTTAATATTTGCATAGTGGTATATTTTAAATTGTATGCTAATGCTTTTATATTAAGCCGCTTTGAGTCTCCTTCAGGAGAGATAAAGTGGGATATGAATAAACGTAATAATATAATAATGAGAATAATAATACAATCTATAATTGCCGATCCACTTAAGTCATCCTACTTCCATTATCACAAATTATTACATTGTTAGATTTCTTCTTGCTCTTTCAGAAAGTCTCGATTTAGCTTATATTTTAGAACCCATGTCAATTTGGCCATTTGGGCCAAATCACCGACCTTAGCAATCCCTTCCTCCATTGGGTTGCTGTGAGGTTTCCGGCCTGTATGGCCATGTTCCAGAAGCATTCTCTCCTGACGTTTCACCCACATCTATGGCAGGCATCCTCAGAGGTGGTGAGGTATGTTGGAAACTAGGCAAATGTGGTTTATATATCTGTGGAATAACTTGTCTGTTTGAGGCAATGTGAATGTTGCAGATGGCCACCTTGATTAGCACTGAATGGCCTTGCAGCTTCAAAGCCTGGCTGTTTCCTGCCTGGGGGAATCCTTTGCTAGGGGAATCCTTTGTCATTAGATGAATTCTAACAACGGATTCCCACAGGCAGGAAACAGCTAGGCTTTGAAGCTGTAAGGCCATTCAATACTAATCAAGGTGTCCAATTGCAACATTCACACTTGCCTCAAACAGACAAGAATTCTTTCTCCCACCCTGGACATCTAAACCTCACTTGCGTACAAAGCAGAAATTAATTCCACCTTCCCCAGGTAGGCTGCCGTACAAGATTTTTGAGATTTTCAGTGCCACTTACATCGGTATCCCCTTCCACATGATTTACCAAGGCTTTAAAGCAGTGGTTCCCATCCTGTGGTTCGTGGACTACCAGTGGTCTGCAAGGATGAAAATATAGTCACTGAGGCACCAAGGCCTCTTCCAAAACTGAATACAGCAGTGGTTCCCGACCTGTGGTCCATGGACCACCAGTTGTCCATAAGAACGAAAATATGGTTAGTGGCCTCACTATTACTACCTTGGAACAACCTTGTAGCAATGAAAGCGACTGGTCTCGCGAAACTCTCTTATAGTGCCGAGGCAACAGGGATGTCGGGAGGGGAGAAGCTGACTACCTGCGAAATACTGCTACTACCACATCAGATCTAGATGATTAAACATAGCTTTCTGTGGGCAAGCCGATGGTGACTACTGGATGGAATATGTTCTGTATCAGAAACTTGAGCTGATGTGGTCTATCCAGTGCAATTTTCTGAATCAGCACCCCAAATAACCAAACCAAATTGACCAAAAAGTGATTTGTAACCCTTTTGGTATTAAAAAGAAAAGCCAATGGGATTTTGGCCTGCATCAATAGGAGCATAGTGTCTAGGTCCAGGGAAGTCATGCTCCCCCTCTATTCTGCTTTGGTTAGACCACACCTGGAATATTGTGTCCAATTCTGGGCACCACAATTCAAGAGAGATATTGACAAGCTGGAATGTGTCCAAAGGAGGGCGACTCAAATGATCAAGGGTCTGGAGAACAAGCCCTATGAGGAGTGGCTTAAGGAGCTGGGCATGTTTAGCCTGAAGAAGAGAAGGCTGAGAGGAGATATGATAGCCATGTATAAATATGTGAGAGGAAGCCAAAGGGAGGAGGGAGCAAGCTTGTTTTCTGCTTCCTTGGAGACTAGGATGCGGAACAATGGCTTCAAACTACAAGAGAGGAGATTCCATCTGAACATGAGGAAGAACTTCCTGAAAGTGAGAGCCGTTCAGCAGTGGAACTCTCTGCCCCGGAGTGTGGTGGAGGCTCCTTCTTTGGAAGCTTTTAAACAGAGGCTGGATGGCCATCTGTCAGGGGTGATTTGAATGCAATATTCCTGCTTCTTGGCAGGGGGTTGGACTGGAAGGCCCATGAGGTCTCTTCCAACTCTTGGGTTCTATTCTATGATTCTAATGTTGGAGAGTGGTCCCGGGTCAAAGTTGTCCCTGGTCAAATAAAGCTTGGGAACCACTGGACTAGAGGATCTTGGTTTATGATTTGCTGTTAACATTAACAGATAACAGGCTTGGAACTGACTCTACAGAACCAAGAATCCAAAGGAAACAGCTGCTAGTTTTGTTGTGTCTGTGAATTCATACAATGATTTTGTTTAGATCACTTCAAACTATATATTTTGCTCGATAAGAAACCATACCATGGACTGAATGTTAAGACATATAAGAAGCAAAGCACAGTTCTAGCCAACCTGTCTGCTTTTAAGTCTGCTCTGTTCGGGGTTAACAGTCAAATCATAACTATTTTCACAGCGCCACACTCTTTAGCTGCTGTTTGTCAATGATCTGGAAATTTAGCGGCTTATTTCCTATATTTATACCCCACCCTTCTTACCCCCAAGAGGGGACTCAGGGCAGCCGCACAAACACCGTATGGTATCATCATAACAAAACAATCAACAATACATTAAAATATTAAAAATAATAAAACAATAATTAAAACAATTGATTAACACTCGCCTATTAAAATCAGACTCTAAAATCCAGTCCGGATCAAATCACTGCCATAAGTGTTAAAATCTTCTTTTACTTGCTGCTCACTAATTGAACGCTTGGTCCCAAAGCCAGGTCTTGATTTTTCTTCTAAAAGACAGGAGGGAGGTGGCCACTCTGATGTCTCCGGGGAGAGTGTTCCACAGGCAGGGGGGCACTGATGAGAAGGCCCTGTCCCTCATCCCCACCAATCGCGTTTGCAATGTCGATAGGGTCGAGAGCAGGGCCTCTCCAGATTATCTTAAGTTTCGTGATGGATCATACCAGGAGATACATTCAAACAGATAGTCTGGGCCAGAACTGTTTAGGGCTTTAAAGGTAAAGACCAGCACTTTGAATTGTGCTCAGAAGCTGATCAGCAGCCAGCTTCAAATCAGATCCTAATTTGTAGACCTAAAATAAACCATGATTCATGAAAAGCCTCCAAGTTAAAAAAAAACCTTGAGGTGGTTGGAAATCCACTTCTCATTTTGAAAAACAATGCTTTATAGCAGTGGTCCTCAACCTGCAGGTTCCCAGGTGTTTTGGTCTACAATTCCCAGAAATCCCAGCCAGCTTATCAGCAGTTAGGATTTCTGGGATCTGAAAGCCATAACATCTGGGGACCCACAGGTTGGGAACCACTGCTTTATAGGAAGCTGCCTGATGTATAAAGTATAAGGTCATCCATTAATATGATTCAAGATGATAATATGTTTCTTCTGGTGGTATAGATGGGCTCAAAGCCAACCTGGCATAGACACTGAGAACTGGGAATCCCGGACCCTTGAGTGCTCCAGTTGGAGCTCAGCTGTGACCAGCAGTGCTGTAGAATTTGGAGGGCGAAAGGGAGAAACGTGCCAAGAGGAAGGTGCATCAAGCCAACCCCAACCAGGACCACCTTCCACCTGGAAACCAATGCCCTCATTGCGGAAGAAGATGCAGATCAAGAATAGGGCTCCAGAGTCACCTACGGACCCACCACCAGTACACCGATCTTGGAAGACAATCCTACTCAGACAACAAGGGATCGCCTAAGTAAGTAAGGTGGGATAAAATATTTCTAGGTGTTGGTTGGATATCACTGGGAGGGTGCTATTGCACTCATGACCTACACTTGGACTTCCCATAGTCAACTAGTTGGTCACTGTGTTAAAAAATATAATTCTGGATTAGGGCTTGGTCTATTTCAGCAGGGCCCTGTTGTCCTCCTGCTCTATTACTGGGCTACAAAAAGCATCTAAAGTAAGAAGAGAGTTCAGAGTACATTCCAAGATGGATTTGGCCACAGTGATCCTTGCTATAATTACCTCTCAATTAGAGTACTGTAATACACTCGACAAAGCCCTAAATGGCTCGGGGCCAAGATTTCTGAATCACCACTTTCTCCTATATAAGCTTGTCTGGAATTTGAGATCTTCAACAGAGGCCCTTTTACATGTCTCATGACACGGAGATGCCAGCTGGAAAGCACCCAAAACCGGTCTTTCGCTGCATCACCACCTTCATTGAAGAACCCCTGAAGCCAACCTGGTGCACTTCCAATGAGTGGTTGACACTGTATCTTGTCTGTCTGGCATTTTGGTTTTAAAAGGTTTTTATGCATATTCGTGTCCCAACACTTTAGGGTGCAGGTGAGCAGAAAAGGGATTAATAAATAAATACAAATTCAGAGACTTAGGAAGACGCTTATTCCCACCAGTTAATACCTGAGGATCTTGTAAATGGAGACACCGGTGACTGAACCTTGGGCTTTCTGCATTCCAAGTATATTTCCCACTGCTGAGCTACGCATCTGAGCAGTGGGACAACAGCCATAGGTTGCTGGATAGAAGCCATCTCAACAACTTAGGAAGGTGGGGACATACTAGTGGTTGTAGTAGCAGCTGCATAGCACAGAAGCAGCTCTAGATGCTGCAGCCGCAGTGGTGCAATACCAATAAGATATTGGAGGAATAGCCACTTGTGTACTAAAAGTGCTTTTACATCTACATAGAACTCTAGTGTGTCTACATATGATAGTTGCACAATGCATCTCCCACAGTTGTGTTGGTGAACTGGAACTGTCCATAGTAGCAAACCAAGTTAGGTTCAGAATGAGTGAGCATCCCCTACTAAGGAGAATGCAGAACCCAGAAAGCTTTAAAATCATTCTCTACATCAAGAAAGAAGACCGAGGTATTGTCACAAGGTGGAGGATGAGGCTCAGTTTTCCTTCTTGTTGTTCGTGGCTTTCATTTTTCTCCGTAGCCGCACCAGGTCGACATAGACGTTGCGCTGGAGGACAGCAGAAGCGCAGACAAGGGCTCCATGAAGTGCTCCTGGAAACCCACCTAGAAAAACATCCTGACCTGGAGAATGCGAAAACAAAGTGCATTTAAGAGAACTTTAATAATATATGTATAGGTGTTGGACTATTTATTTATTTATTTATTTCGCGCATTTCTACCCCGCCCTTCTCAACCCCCGAGGGGGGACTCAGGGCGGCTTACAAAAGGCACAATTTGATGCCAACACAACAATAAAATAAAACATATATCAACAGCAATTAAAAACAATTAAAACAATCAATTATACACCACAATCAATAAAACCAGTCTAATGCTCAACGTTCGTCAGCTCAGAATCCGTAATTCATTCCACATTGTCAAATCCTATCAATTCTAGTCATCATTGTCCTTTGTCTATCTGCCAGATTACCCAAAAGCCTGGTCCCATATCCATGTTTTTAGTTTCCTTCTAAAAGAGAGGAGGGATGTCGATGACCTAATTTCCCCGGGGAGTGAATTCCACAGGCGAGGGGCCACCACCGAGAAGGCCCTGCTCCTTGTCCCCACCAATCTCACTTGTGATAGAGGTAGGGCCAAGAGCAGGGCCTCCCCAGAAGATCTTAAACTCCGAGGCAGGACGTAGAGCGAGATGCGTTCGGTCAGATACGCTGGGCCAGAGCCGTATAGGGTTTTGTAGGTCAGAACCAGCACTTTGAATTGTGCTCGGAACTGGATCGGTAGCCAGTGGAGCTGACATAACAGAGGGGTGGTATGCTCCCTGTATGATGCTCCGGTGAGTAATCTGGCTGCCGCCCGCTGGACTTATTGAAGTTTCCAAACAGTCTTCAAAAGCAACTCCACGTAGAGTGCGTTGCAATAATCCATTCGGGATGTAACAAGAGCGTGGACCACTGTGGCCAGATCTGACTTCCCAAGGTACGGGCGCAACTGGCGCACAAGTTTTAATTGTGGAAAAGCTCTCCCAGCCACCGCTGAGACCTGGAGTTCCAGGCTCAGCGATGAGTCCAGGATCACTCCCAAGCTGTGAACCTGCGTCTTCAGGGGGAGTGTAAATAAATGCTGGGCATGAACAGAGGTAGGATGTATCTGGTAGGAGAGTAAAAAAGAAAAGAAGGGAGAGCAACCCAACGAGTAGTTAAAGTTCTTCTGAAACCATTTTTCTGGGAATTATTTCCTTATTCAGGAAAGGTACACTGGAACAGCCACGTTTTCAGGCTCCCCCTAAAGACTGCCAATGTGGGGGCTTGCTTAATATCTTTAGGAAGTGAGTTCCAGAGTCGGGGGGACACTACAGAGAAGGCCCACTCCCTCGTCTCCACCAATCGTGCCTGCGAAGGGGGCGGGAGCAAGAGCAGGGCCTCTCCAGATGATCGAAGAGATCGCGGGGTTTGTACACAGAAATGTGGTCATGCAGGTATGCAACATTCTAATAATATATGTATAGGGTGTTGGACTAGCTGGTCTTTATGCAAGATTCTAGGAAATACAGCACTGCTTCTTTTCCTTTTTGAACTCTATGCTCTTTCCCATCTCTCTCTCAATAGCTGGGATTCTCCCCCTATACCAGTGTTTCTCAGCCCGGGCTTGGGACCCCTTGGGGGGTTGCGAGGGGGTGTCAGAGGGGTTGCCAAAGGCCACCAGAAAGCACAGTATTTTCCGTTGGTCATAGGGGTTTTGTGTGGGAAGTTTAGCCCAATTCTATCATTGGTGGGGTTCAGAAATCTCTTTGAATGTAGGTGAACTATAAATCCCGGCAATTGTAATTCCCAAATGTCACGTCTATTTTCCCCAAACTCCACCAGTGTTAACATTTGGGCATATTGAGTATTTGTGTCAAGTTTGGTCCAGATCCATCATTATTTGAGTCCACAGTGCTCTCTGGATGTAGGCGAACTACAACTTCAGAACTCAAGGTCAACCAAACCCTTCCAGTATTGAATTGAATTGTTTATTGTACTAGGCATTGGCCATGACATAAAATATACAACCTTTAAAAATACAATAATCACTTTCCAATATAAATATTAAAACATGTCCCGTATACTGACTCTTTAAAATTATAGTAGTGACATGATAACAATTATGAATGTCTGATTTGTATCATCCCAAAATATCTCCATTTCAATTTCTAGCTTCTGCTGTGGACTTTACTTTACATGGAAGTTCTGTGTGCCAAGTTTGGCTCAAATTAATCATTGATGGAGTTCAGAATGCCCTTTAATTATAGGTGAACTATAAATCCCAGCAACTACAACTCCCAAATGACAAAATCAACCCCCCCCCCCCAACCCCACCAGTATTCAAATTTGGGCGTATCGCGTATTTATGACAAATTTGGTCCAGTGAATGAAAATACATCCTGCATATCAGATATTTACATTATGCTTCAAAACAGTAGCAAAATTACAGTTGTGAAGTTGTCATGAAAATAATTTGCTGGTTGGGGGTCACCACAATATGAGGAGCTGTGTTAAGGGGTCGCAGCATCAGGAAGGTTGAGAACCACTGTTCTAAGGTGAGGAAGGCTGCTCTGTGGCCCCTTCTATACTGTCCTATAGCCCAGGATCTGGTCCCAGATTATCTGCTTTACACTGGATTTATATGATTCTTCACTGCCAGATAATCTGGGATAAGGAGATAATCTGGGCTCAGATCCTGGGATATCGGGGCAGTGTGGCAGGGACCTGAGATGCTGCTACTGATCAACATTTTTCAAAAAGGAAGTTTTAGTACTTTTTAAATCCTTATTAGTTCAAAAGTTTGGTAATGAGACACGGAGGATCTATGTTTTTATCAGTTTTATTACTTATTGAATTTTATTTATGTTAACTGTTTTAACTGTTTTTATATTATTGTGGGCATTGAATTGTGCCGTTTTGTAAACCGCCCTGAGTCACCCTTGGGCTGAGAATGACGGTATAGAAATATAGCAAATAATAATAATAATAATAATAATAATAATAATAATAATAATAAGTCTTTTTCAATTGAATTTGATTTTTAGTGCAATCTACTTTGTGTGCACTCACAAGGAAGCCCTACTGATTCCAGTGAGGTTTACTCTTGCATGAATTGATATTCTGCGTATTAAACAGAGGGGTATTTACTTACCTAGTGCAGCTCCTAGTGCTTGTTGGGAAGTGCACGGAGCATTGCATGACTCTGAAACTTGCACCTTGGGAATCTGCCAAGCACCCCTCCCCACTCCTGCACGAAGCCACAGCTCATTTGCAAAGGATTATTCGAAAGCACGCCTCCGCCTCCCTCTAATCCGAATCTGCTCCTTGTTACTGATCTCATTTTGTGTTCCTCCTTTGTACGGTCCTCATTTATGACCTCTGACCTGGACTCCTGGAGGGTTCCTTCATAATTCTATTTAGACTATCTCTATTTTTCTCAGTGAAAGCTTTAGACATTTTAATTCTGCTGACCAATATTAAATAGCAATAAGCGTGGTGTCTCAGAAAAATTAAGAGTAACGTTGTAAAGCGGCCAACCTGGGGATCGGGACCCCTGGGGGGGTCATGAGGGGGTTTCAGAGTGGTCACCAAAGACCATCAGAAAACACATATTTCTGATGGTCTTAGGAACCCATTTGGCAGAGAAGGCTGAAGATATCTCCGCCTGTCCTTCTCTTCCTTTTTGGAAACAGGCGGCGTATCCTCCCACCAAAAGCCCTCCTCTGTGTAACTGGGTGGCCTCTCAGCCAAGGAGAGGGTTGTTTCTGAGACTCCAAACAGGGAGGGGAGAACAGGCATGCTTGGCGCATGGCAGCATGGTGCACATGTGTGGGCAAGGGAGAGCGTGTGAGGCTGGAGGAAGGCTTGCGCCAGCGAGTCCCTTCCAGGCATGGGGGTTCTGTGTGGGAAGTTTGGTCCAATTCTATTGCTGGTAGGGTTCAGTTTGTAGGTGAACTATACATCCGAGAAACTACAACTCCCAAATGTCAAGGTCTATTTTCCCCAAACTCCACCAGTATTCACATTTGGGCATATTGAGAATTCGTGCCAAGTTTGGTCCAAATCCATCATTGTTGGAATCCACTGTGCTCTCTGGATGTTGGTGAACTACAACTCCAAAACTCAAGGCCTGTGCCAGTGGTTCTCAACGTGTAGGTCCCCAGATGTTTGGCCTACAACTCCCAGAAGTCCCAACCAGTTTACCAGCTGTTGGGATTTCTGGGAGTTGAAGGCCAAAACATCTGGTGACCCACAGGTTGAGAATCCACTGGTCTATGCCCACCAAATCCTTCCAGTATTTTCTCTTGGTCATGGGAGTTCTGTGTGCTAAGTTTGATTCAATTCCATTTTGGTGGATTTCAAAATGTTCTTTGATTGTAGGCGAACTATAAATCCCAGCAACTACAATTCTTAAATGACAAAACCCCCAACCCCACCAGTATCCAAATTTGGGCGTTATCGGGTATTTGTGCCAAATTTGGTCCAGTGAATTAAAGTATGTCCTATGTATTTATATTACAGTTAATAACAGTAGCAAAATTACAGTTATGAAGTAGCAATGAAAATAATTTTATGGTTGGGGGTCACCACAACATGAAGGGATCATGGCATTAGGAAGGTTGAGAAACACTGGCCTATAACCACATTTAAGACCCATTTATAGATAAAGGTAAAAGTTTCCCCTTGACATTAAGTCTAGTTGATTCTGGCTCTGGGGGATGGTGCTCATCTCCATATCTAAGCCAAAGAGACATCATTGTCCATAGATGCCTCCCAGGTCATGTGGCAGGCATGACTGCATGGAATGCCGTTACCTTTCCCTCAACTGATCTACTCACATTTGCATGTTTTTAACTGCTAGATTGGCAGAAGCTGGGGCTTATGACAGGAGCTCACTCCACAGATTCGAACCACCGACCTTCTGCAGCTGAGCGGTTTAACTCATTAATAACAGTAGCAAAATTACAGTTGTGAGGTAGCAACGAAAATAATTTTATGTTTGGGGGTCACCACAACATGAAGAACTGTATTAAGGGATTGCAGCATTTGGAAGGTTGAAAAATACTGTTGTAAAGCATAATAAGTTACATCTGCTGATGAATATTTCAAGCATGTTTTCAAAAAAAAAATTACCTCCCAAATTTGTGACATAGTTTGGATTATCTTTAGACCAAACCTTTTTAGCCCTTAGTTTCTGGGCCTAAGTGACAGCTTTGGGTTTTGGAAGTCTCTCATTCAAACAATCACCATATGTCGAATCTGACGGCAAATAACAAGTATCAACGGCCGTCTGATGTATATCCCTCTCGTACATGGATTGGTTACAATAATTTTATTTTTCAGATTAAAATGCATTGGGTTATGGATTTTCTCCAAAATCAAGTTGCTCTGAATGCTTTAAATGTTATAATGAAAAGAATTCACCTAAGAAAAAAATGTTTTGAAAAATAATTCCATAGGCTGCTAATACAACTCTGAATTTAAGGTGCTTATGGTGACATTTACAGCGTTCAGCTGCTTATGACTTCAGTACTGACTGGCACGCCTAAGGAATGGTGAACAGTATGGGCTTCACTTAAGCACAAAGTAAAAGCATGGCTAATATTTAGTAAAGCTTTTGAGGCCTGATTTACCCCCAAATGCTTACAGTTTTATTTTGTTTGACTCACTTTTTAACTCGTCAACTTGTTTTATACGTTCTTCCTGTATTTAAATTATTTTTTTACTGTTTTAAACAGTTTTGATCGGTTTATATTGATCTTCCTGACATCCCATGATGTTGGATGAAATACAAATGCATGAATAAACACCTATTTGGAAATTTAGGAAGAAATGTTTTTTCATGAATGTAACTCTTTGCTAAATAGTTTGAAAGAAGCAAAGAACAATTTTAGCCATTTTCCTCCCATTGCAAGAAAATAATTCAAAACTGCCTGTTGGGGTTCAGCCTGTGTGTGAACTTGAACCTGACTCTCTGATTGTATTTCCTGATGCCCATGTAGATGTTAATGTGAATTCTGAGGCCAATTTAGATGATGATGGTTTGAGTAGTGAAAATCCTACAGCCTTGGAAAGCGAAAGTCAAGATTCCCATGAGAACATACATTCCGAGCCGAGCGGAGATGGTTCACTCCCTTTTTCTCCCAGTCTTAGCTCTCTGGAGAATCAGACACCTGGCCTGCCTAATGAGGATAGGCGGGGGCAGATTTGGCAGAGTCGGGGAGAAGCACAATGTTTACGCAGGTCAGCCAGATTGAAAGAAATCCAAACAAAATCTTCAGGCGTGTCTCGCAATAGATTTCTTGGCCTTAAATATGCCTGGTCTGAATACAGCTTCAGACCAGGCATCATTCCAGATTCATGTGCCAGCGTTTGCAGGTCTCCTGATTCAAGTGGCCTTGTTCCTCTGAGGTTTTGTAGTTGTGCTAAGTATGGTTAGTGGATTGTTAACAGGTTCCAGGATTCAGCAGTTTGCTGTGGGTTTCATGATCTTGTTTATGGACATTTCTTGTTGCTGATTTTTACTGTGACTTGTTACCTTTGCATTTTTCCTCTATTTTGTATTCATCTTTCATCAATAAAAAAGGATTGTTTTTCCTGAAGCCAAGTGTGGTGGATTGTTGTCTGAGGGTCCAGTTTCCTGCTCTGGGTTGCAACACTGCCATTTAAAAAACTGTTTATATTTTAAAGCTTTATTTTGCACAAAAACAAATGCACGTGGCCTGTGAAGAAAAATTTGTGCATAGATATTGCATGTGTAGAAAATAGAAATACAGTAGAGTCTCTCTTTTCCAACCTTCACTCATTCAACATTCTGTATTATCCAACACAGTCTGCCTCCCACCCAGATCCACAGCTGTTTCAATACATTGCAATGTTTTGGTGCTAAATTTGTAAATACAGTCATTACTACATAATGTTACTGTGTATTGAACTGCTTTTCTGTTGATTTGTTGTAAAACATAATATTTTGGTGATTGATTTGTAATATCATAATGTAATTTGATGTTTAACAGGCTTTTCCTCAGTCTCTCCTTATTATCCAACATTTTTGCTTATCCAGTGTTCTGCCAGCCCGTTTATGCTGGATAAGCAAGACTCTACTGTATTGTTTAATATTTTATGATACAGTCACCGCTCTACATTCACTGGTTTGACATATTTTATTTATTTATTTATTTATTTATTTATTTATTATTTAAACTTATATGCCGCCACTCCCCTGGGGCTCCGAGCGGCTTACAAGAATAGTTAAAATCTAACAAAGTTTAAAAGCAATTTAAAACAATTTAAAAACAACAGTATCAAACATTAAAAGCCTGTCGGAACAGGTATGTCTTACATGCCCTGCGGAAAGCTGGTGAGTCCCGCAGGGCACGAACTTCAGGTGGCAGAGTATTCCAGATTGATGGTGCCACTGCTGTGAAGGCTCTGCGTCTGGTTGCCGTTAGACGCAAGGTCTTGACACTGGGGACTTCCAATAGATCTTGGTCCTCAGAACGGAGGGATCTCTGGGGTTGGTAGGGGGTGAGGCGGTCCCTCAGATACATTGGCCCCAGACCATGCAAGGCCTTAAAGGTGAGTACCATCACTTTGAAAGTGATCCGGTGCTCAATTGGTAACCAATGCAGCTGTAGTAAGATTGGTGTTATGTGGCATCTCATCGGAATTCCCGCAAGAAGCCGAGCAGCTGCGTTTTGTACCAACTTGAGCTTCCGAGTCACCGACAGGGGGAGGCCAATGTAGAGGGCGTTACAGTAGTCCAGTCTTGAGATGACCGTGGCCTGGATCACTGTAGCTAGGTCGTCCCTGGATAGGGAGGGGGCCAGCCGTCTAGCCTGCTGCCCGGTTGACCCAGCCATAGAATCTCCGTCTTTGCTGGATTCACCCTCAACCTGCTGGCACGCAGCCATCCAGTAACGGCCTTGAGGCACTGATGGAAACAATCGGGTACAGAGTCCGGTCGGCCTTCCATCTTCAGCACCAGCTGAGTGTCATCGGCATACTGATAACACTCAAGCCCAAAACCTCGAACCAGCTGAGCAAGTGGTCGCATATAGATGTTAAACAACAGAGGGGAGAGAATGGCCCCCTGAGGAACCCCACAAGATAGAGGGGACCTCTCAAAGACCAGGCCCCCCCTCTCCACTCGCTGTCCACGGTTGTGAAGAAAGGAGGACAGCCAGTTTAAAGCTGTCCCCCTGATTCCAGCAACAGCAAGGCGGTGGGTCAAGAGATTGTGGTCGACTATGTGGATTTGATTATTCATGGATTCGCCATTGCCCAACATGGACACTTTTCTCCTACTTTCTAGAATGGAAGTGGCATTGGCTTGGGTTCCTCAGCCACTAAAGGCTGGGATGTAGAGTTAAAGCTCCCCAAATCTTGGCATGATTTGTTTCCAATCTATATTGGGTGAATGTAGTTTTCCTGCTTCTTGGCAGGGGGTTGGACTAGATGGCCCACGAGGTCTATTCCAAACTCTATGATTCTTTGAATGGGCAGAAGGAGCTTGTGCCTGGTGACAAGGCTTCCATCCTCCTCCTGTTGTGGTTTGAGGCCATTGCGTGAATGTGTATAATATTACATATAATCATTTTATGTCATCAATAACAGACGTCGTTATTCTTAAAGTGAAAATGCTGTTATTTGTAAAACACTGTTTTGTGTACAGAAAGCCACAGAAGACGCAGAATAGATTGTTTTAATTGGTGAGATTGTGTTAGTGAACGGCAATGGATTGATTTAGAAGATGACTTGAAATGGCAAACTGTCTTAATGTATATTTTTAATTATTTGCAATGTATGCTAAGCCTATTTTGGGAACGGGCCCATTGTAAGCCATCCTGAGTCTCCCTTTGGGGCTTGAGAAGTGATGGGATAGAAATACGAGAAATAATAATAATATTTTATGCTTTGTTATAGATTGTTCGGCACCAAATGGTGCCTGCAAATAGCCACCCTGAATCCCTCTTTAGAGGTGAGAAGGACGGGAAAGAAATGCTCCAAATAAATAAATAAATAAATAAATAAATAAATAAATAAATAAATACCTGTCAGATAGAGGTTTGGGACAGGAGTCTGTGGCCTAATCGTTGTTGTGACTTCTACCTGGAGACGGGAAATGCTGTGTTCTGCACCGTACATTTCTCCTCGTGGAGAAGCTATGTAATGGCAGTTGGTGAGAGGTGTCCCAGCAGAGACATGCTCAATCTGGAAGGAAGACAGAGATAAAGTAATCTGACCTCACTACTTCTGAGGATGCTTGCCTTAGATGCAGGTGAAACGTCAGGAGAGAATGCCTCTAGAACATGGCCATATAGCCCGAAAACCCCACACCAACCCAGTGATTCCAGCCATGTAAGCCTTCGACAATACATTAATCTGAAAATACTGGAAGCTTCTGACCCCTGAAGAGATCTGAAACGGCATGAGGTGCTACTTTTTTATCCCTTATTGCAGGGAAGAGTCTATCCCTTTCCAGATGTTATTGGATAACGCTCCCATCAGCCCTAGAAACTGGTGAGAGTGATGGGAATTGTACGCACCATCAGAACCATCCACATAGAAGATTCAAGTATGAGGTTTGTGGAAGTATAAGCAAAACCAACCTGGACACAGCATATTATTTGAGAATATAGAAATGCTGGTCCACTTTCACAACCACCATGTCAGACTACACAGAGAAGCCATTGAAATCCACAAGCATGTGGACAATTTCAACAGAAAGGAAGAGACCATGAAAATGAACAAAATCTGGCTACCAGTACTAAAAAACTCTAAAATTACAACAGCAAAAAAACAGAGAGGAAACAAACAAGGACATCTAATCACTTCTCAACAAAAGATTGCCCCTGGCACTGCCAGGCCATCAAATGCCAATCAAGATGGTCAGTTGAAACATTCACACCTAGCTCCAACAGACAAGAGTTCTTTGTCCCACCCTGGTCATTCCACAGATATATAAATCCATTTTCCCAGTTCCAACAGACCTCACTACCTCTGAGGATGCTTGCCATAGATGCGGGTGAAACGTCAAGAGAAAATGCCTCTAGAACATGGCCATATAGTCCGAAAAAAACCTACAACAACCCAGTATAAGCAATCCTTAGAAGAAAAAAATGTCATGAGGTGCATGGGATGAGAAAACCGCACCAAGTTGAAGCCCCAGTTGTCTCCTCCTGGGACCCTTTAAGGCAGTGGTTCACAACCTGTTGGTCCCCAGATGTTTTGGCCTTCAACTCCCAGAAATCCTAACAGCTGGTAAACTGGCTGAGATTTCTGGGAGTTGTAGGACAAAACACCTGGGGACCCACAGGTTGAGAACCACTGCTTTAAGGGCTGCATGGACTACCAAAAACAATGGCCAAAACAAAACCCTGAAAGTGCCTTATGATCCCTAATAATTTTGGAAACATTTTTTTTTAAAAAAAATCTTAAATGAAGCTTCTAGTCTAGGAGATGAAATTTATCAAAAAAAAATTAAAATGGATTGTCTAAAAGGCTTGAAGGTGCCAAGAACCACAGAAAGAAGTTTGAGGAACCACATATGGGGCGACACTTTTCCCGCCTGTGCTTTAGAGCAGGACGGGGGACCCCCCAAAGCAACCTAATGAGGGCAGAGAAACTCATGGTCCAACCTCTCCTCAGTTGACCTCAGAAGAAAGGGATTTGAAGGAGATAAGAATGCATTATTCGTGAGGTATGCCAAGCCAAGGACTTAATGGCCTCCATCCTGTTAGTGGCATATGCAGGCATAAGTTGTGCTACGCATGCCGAGTAGTTTTAATGGCTACTCTGCCATGGGGAGGAGGCAGATTGGGTAGTCTTTAGGCCTTTACAGACACCCATTACAGCTCCTGCCCTTGGACTACAGACCACAGAATTGCTAATCTAGGGAACAGCTGAAGACTTGCTATCTAGCTGCATGAATTTATTCAGTGTGCTAGGAAGGTTCTTACCTTATCCTTTATTTGAGGGTAAACCTTCAAAACAGTGTCCATTATACTATCCACAAAACTGTTTTTGACGCTCTCATAATCCACTCCTCTCTTTGTGACCTTTTCTTCCTTCCATTCCTCAAACCATTCATACTTTGTGACCGCCAGGATAATGAGGGTGGACTTGCCTAAAAGAAAAGGGACACAAGGGGTTCGCCACCAATACTACTGCCAAAGATAGTCATTTCGAAATCTATTACATATGAAAAAAGGTTCCCAAGGCATTTATTTATTTATTTATTTATTTATTTATTTATGACATCTATATTCCGCCCTTCTCACCCTGAAGGGGTCTCAGGGTGGAGCACAGCATATATACGGCAAACATTCAATGCCGGGACACAAATTCTTAAATACATACATAAACATTCAAAACATTTATCAAAATACTAGCCATCCCCTGCCACGCATTGCTGTGGGAGGTTTGGCCCAGTTCTATCGTTGGTGGGGTTCAGAATGCTCGGTGATTGTAGGTGAACTATACATCCCAGCAACTACAACTCCTAAATGACAAAATCAATTTTTTTAGTGAAGGACATACATTAGGTTGTTAGGTGTCTTGTGTCCAAATTTGGTGTCAATTTGTCCAGTAGTTTTTGAGTTCTGTTAATCCCACAAACGAACATTACATTTTTATTTATATAGATTAAAATACACCATTTAAAACCATCCTAGTCATCCACGTCTAATCTAATTGGCCTGCTAATCTTTCCTATTGCTGCTTTATTGCCCTGTCCCCAAAGCTTGGTCCCAAAGCCAAGTTTTTACTATCCTTCTAAAGGGCGGGAGAGAGGGGGCCGAACTTATCTCACCAAGAAGGGAGTTCCATAGCCGGGAGCAATCACTGAGAAGGCCCTGTCTCTCGTCTCCACCAATCGTGCCTGTGACAATGGCGGGACGGAAAGCAGGGCCTTCCTGGTGGATCTTAATCTCCGCAATGGTTCATAGGGAGAGATGCATTCAGACAGGTAATTGAATGGGTAGAATAGTTTCAGACAAGAACATTTTAAAAATCAGGGCTATTCCAAGACATTTTTATGCCTCAAAGGACAAGATGCAATTCCAAGTTGAGAAGCTGGACACAAAGCTGAACAACACCTCAATACTGCCAACACAATAAAGTTAAGTGGATTGGTTAGGATGTGATGGCTGGACTGTATGGAACACATAGCTCTGTCCAAGAGAGGAAAATAGCTAGAAGACTTCAGAGGAAAGTTGAAGAGCAGCCATAACTGTTACAGTAAGTCGTAACGGGGTTAAGTATGTGTGTGTTAAAGAAAACCTTATACTGTTCAATTATTATGTGCAGCTGCTAATGTAGGTCAACTAGTAAGTTTGAACCACACCCGGTGGGGTATAACTGTATGGATTTTAGAATACAGTTCAGCTTTTGCTCTGAGGAGCCTTTGCTCAGGCATTTTGCTCAACCATTTCTACTGCTCTCTCATTTGGAGGAAGTTGAAGAAGCCTTATTTCTGTATTGCTTACAAGTTTGTTGCACTTGTTTTGTTTGCAACGCTGTAAGTTTATGTTTTAACTCTGCTGATAAGAGTAGTTTTTTTCCTGTTCATTTTCCTCTTTCCTGTGTGCAGTGATATTGTGTCTTCTGCATTGGACCTGACTGAAAGCCACTTGAGCGCAACAATAACTGCTCTCCAACACCTATCATCCGAGGCACTTAAACCAGCAGAGTTGTCAATATTTTGGTGTCTGGATTAAGTTGCATTACAGAAGGGCAAAGTATTGGCCTATGCTGTCTCTAGGGATGCCATGATTTGGAAAATGCACCATGCATTTGCCTCCATGTCCCCAGGATGTCTCCTCTCGATTCTCTCTCTGCCTTTATTACTTTGACTGCAAATAATGTCATATTTCTGGCTCTACAGAGCACCGATACCTGGATATCTCTTCTCCCAGAGTGGATCCTTAGCTGATGATGATCCAATGTATACTAAAGGGATATTCTTTGGAGCAGTTTCTCGGGAACAGTTGAGGTAAGTAACGAACCTGGGAAGAAATAAGACTTCCCATCAGCTTTTTAATGTGTAAGCTAATTGGAGTTGCAGTCTTGGGGGGAAAAAGAGATGTAAATAAAGATCATCGTCATCACACTCTGTGATTGGCAAAGATTTGAAGTGTCTCTTTCTTATTAAATAGTATAATGAACAAATGTTATTTTCTTTTTTGGAGGAATATATAGAACACAGATATCTCAGATATGTCAGGAGAGAATGCCTCTAGGCCATGGCCATATAGCCTGAAAAAACCTACAACAACCCAGGTATCTATTACTAAGATGCACAAAGTATTATGTTATTGTTGCTGAAACTTCAAATATAATGTCATATGACAGGTTTATGACTTAAAAACACAATATAGAGGAACAACTTCTCTTAGTCATGGATAAATGTCCATATTCATTTAGATAAACATAATAGTCCAAACATCTACAAGTGACTCTTTAAATCATCATACAGATTGGACTATTATGTTTATCTAAATGAATATGGATATTTATCCATGACTACGAGAAGTTCTTTTTTGGAGGACCAACAATACCATCCCACTGCAGTTAAACCTAAAATGTTTTGTGTAAAAAAAAGAGATTGAAGCTGTTTTTGTAGAAAAGGCAATAATCGGAGGTTTATGTCCTCTTCATTTGCAATGTGATATTACAGCCAAAGGTTGGAAATAATTACAGACAAGTTATTTGCAATCATTTCTTTTATTTTGTGTGTGTCAGGAATGACTTGAGAAATTGCAAGTCACTTCTGGTTTGAGAGAATTGGCCATCTGCAAGGACGTTGCCCAGGGGACACCCAGATATTTGATTTTTTTTTTTACTATCCTTATGGGAGGCTTCTCTCATGTTCCCGCATGTGGAGCTGGAGCTGACAGAGGGAGCTCATCCACGCTCTACCCAGATTCGAACCTCCGACCTGTCAGTCTTCAGTCCTGCTGGCACAAGGGTTTAACCCATTGCACCACTGGGAGCTCATTTCTTTCATGAAATTATTACAACATAGCCCACGGTCTGCCAACATTAGACAATAATAATAATAATAATAATAATAATAATAATAATAATACTTTTTTTATACCCTGCCACTATCTCCCCAATGGGGACTCGGGGGCGGCTTACATGAGACCATGCCCAAACAACAAATTAAAGCAAAATAAAATCAAAAACACAAGCAATAAACAACAATATCATAATTACATAAAATATATGAATGCATAACAATATAAAAAATTACAGTAAACATAATCATAGTGACAATGGACAGGCTGCATGTAATGATTAAAAGAAAAACTAATAAACTAATTAAAAACAAGTGAAGTCATCATCATGTTAGGCATTCCATAATATTCTAAGGCAATTGCACCCACATTACCCAAATGCAGCTTTACTTTAATTGTCATAGCTATATCCCACACAATCATAGTATTTGTAGCTTAGGTGGGTACTTAAAATTCCCTGTAAGAGAAATGCTGTAGAAATGCTTACGCTTCACTGAGGTCGTTATGTTGATAGATGTAATAATTTTTTGCTTCAAATCCCAGCTCCTCTTTAGAACCTTTGAGCCCAACGAAGACGCAGAGGCCTCCTATGCCATGGTGCATCATGGAAAGCTGGCTCTGAATCCCTGACAATGTAGGGATAATGGAATACATGAATGAATGGATGGATTGATGGATGGATGACCGAATGCATGAAAGAGGAGCGAAATCAGTTATAGAAAAAAAATTGTAGAAATAAGTTTATGAACCTGAAGAGTGGTGTCATGACCTTCAAACTTAGAAACTGGAACAAAACAAAGTTCAAAGTTAATAGGTAAATTGTCACAATGAAGAAGAAAACAATATTTATTAACCTGAGATAACACCTCTCGAGGAAACTCTTGGTTGTCCGATATGGTCTTATGGTCAATTTCTAACCATAGAATCACACTGGAGGACCAACAAATGCCTAGAGAAGTATTTTCTCTAAGAACTTCTAGGCCTTCCAGAAGTTGGCCATAGAGTCATGCTGGAAGACCTAAAGATTTTGAGAGAAAACATATTAACCATATCCGTGAATAATCAAAACTGCAAAAGTGAAACCCACAAATGTGAAGGGATGACTGTATTTGCTTTGGAGCTGCTTTGGATGTAGTTAGGCCTATATCTACTTGTAATGTACCAAGCTGAAATTGTACTAATAGCTCCACATGTCCTTTGCCCAAATTCAGATCACCATTGACATAATTGCACTAGCACTCATTATTGACACTTTTCCTATTCCAATAATAATAATAATAATAATAATAATAATAATAATAATAGAATCAAAGAGTTAGAAGAGACTTCATGGGCCATCCAGTCCAACCCCCTGCCAAGAAGCAGGAATGTTGCATTCAAATCACCCCTGACAGATGGCCATCCAGCCTCTGTTTAAAAGCTTCCAAAAAAGGAGCCTCCACCACACTCCGGGGCAGAGAGTACCACTGCTGAACGGCTCTCACAGTCAGGAAGTTCTTCCTCGTGTTCAGATGGAATCTCCTCTCTTGTAGTTTGAAGCCATTGTTCCGCGTCCTAGTCTCCAAGGAATTATTATTATTATTATTATTATTATTATTATTATTACAACAACATACAAAATCCAGCATATAGATCTCATTTGCTCTGACATACTGTGTTTTTGTGTCAATAATGATAATAATAATAATAATATTAATAATAATAATAATACTTTAACAAAGTGGAAAACATTCAATGCCAAAAAACAACAAACAAATAAAAAATCAAAACAGTGTATAAAACAATCTCAATATAAAATTATAAAACTAATTGAAAAATAACTGAAAAGTAAATTTAAATAAACATAACACATCACATGATAAACTCTTAAAAGTTAGATTGAAAAGGTATCAAAAGCTGAGATGGTTTACAGCATCCAACAGGTGAAGGTAGGTGACCAGTATTGAGGCGCGGATATATATGGAGATGTACTAGTCCTCCTCCTGTTAGTAAGCTAAATTTTGAATAAATAAGTTTTATAAAGCTTTTTAAAGGAGAGGAGAGAGGAGACCATTTCAGTTCTTTTTCTTTTGGGAGGGAGTTCCAGAGGAAGGGAGCAATCACAAGAGAAGTTCCTCTCTTGTTCCAACTAAACACATTTGTGTCAGGGGTGGGACTGAGAGTAGGGCCTCCGTCACAGACCGCAGTGCTTGTGCTGGCTTGTATACAGAGATGAGGTTTTTCAAATAGTTTGGGCCTGAAACATTTTTGGACTTTATAGGTAATAACCAGCACTTTGTATTTGGCTCAGAAGCAGACCGGCAGCCAATGGAGCTGCCGTAACATGGGAATTGTCTGCACCCTGTACGGCATTCTAGTCAGTAACCTGGCTGCCGAACTCTAAACCAGTTCTAGCTTGCGAACTATCTTCAAAGGCATAGAGAGTATAGCAGTAGTCCAGATGAGATGTAAAGAGCTGGACATGTTTAGCCTAAAGAAGAGAAGGCTGAGAAGAGACATGATAGCCATGTATAAATATGTGAGAGGAAGGCATAGGGAGGAGGGAACAAACTTATTTTCTGCTGCCCTGGAGACTAGGATGCGGAACAATGGCTTCAAACTACAAGAAAGGAGATTTCATCTGAACATTAGGAAGAACTTTCTGACTGTGAGAGTCGTTCAGCAGTGGAACTCTCTACCCTGAAGTGTGGTAGAGGCTCCTTCTTTGGAAGCTTTTAAACAGAGGCTGGATGGCCATCTGTTGGGGGTGCTTTGAATGCAATTTTCCTGCTTCTTGGCAGGGGGTTGGACTGGATGGCCCATGAGGCCTCTTCCAACTCTTTGATTCTAGGTGTTAGAGCCATTTCCATTTAAGAATTCTGTAATCTGGGCAAGCCAGGTGCATGACTGAGGGCAGAGGGTGGGGGACAGAGAAAGAAAGAAAATGGGATGAGAATAAAGGCCAAAAAAAGGGAGGAAGAGGGGAATCCCTTCTTCCTCTTCAGGAAAAGCAGTTTATCAACACACACCCTCCCCACCTCCTGGTAAGTGAGAAGAAACCAGCCTCTGATGGGCAGCCATCCTTTGCCTTTTTGCCCTGGTTGATCTTTCCACTCCATCCTCATTTGCTCTGAGGTCAGAGAGAGGTACCTAGCCATGAGGTCAGGGATGAGGTAGTAGCCTGATCAACCCCCTTCACCACTGATGGCATGGCTGGACACCTTGTTCTGACCCCAGAGCAAAAGCCTTTATTAACAGGGCTATACTGCGGAGGTAACAGGCCAGGAAGGCAACAGCAGCAGCCTTGAGGATGTGACCAAAATATATCACAGCAAGTAGTACTAAACATCCATCAATCACCCCTGCCCATATGTCATAAAAGAGGTATTTGCATGAATAAGGCTGGTGGAGAAAAAGCCTTGGAGAAGAGATTCACCAGAATGTGTTGTCGCGTACCTCCGTTCAAACTTATTCGCAATCATTTTGACCCGCAGAAGAGGGACAGTTACGGTAGCCAACTGAAAAGGGAAGTTAGCCAAGGATAAATGGTTTTGCGTGAGTGGCACCCTAATCTCCTGTAAAAAGTTAATCACAGAATCAAGGTGCCAAACGAGGTCAGGTTTTCCTATAATCTCTATTTAAACAATAAAAAGTTGGCACATCTAAGGTTATGAACTCGGATGGGTTCATTCAGGCTTCTATCATCTTGTTTCAACTTTTCACCTCGGCTCATCGTAAACATCCCGCTGCGAGAGGAAAGAAAAACAAGCTCTCTCATGTTGCGCTATCCTCATGTTTCAAGGAACGATAACTTTTGGATTGAGAATTATGGCATCTTTAAAACAAACAGAGGCTGAACCATTCTTTCCAATCATCTCCTGTTCCAATGTGCCAACTTTCCCCAATTTGGTACCCTCTAGTCCAGTGTTTCTCAATCTGGAGGTCGAGACCCCTGGGAGGGGGTTGTGAGAGGGTATCAGAGGGGTCACCAAAGACCATCAGAAAATACAATATTTTCTGTTGGTCATGGGGGTTCTGTTTGGGAAGTTTGGCCCAATTATATTATTAGTGGGGTTCAGATTGTAGGTGAACTATACATCCCAGTAACTACAAATTCCAAATGTCAAGGTATATTTTCCCCAAATTTCACCAGTGTTCACATTTGGGTATATTGAGTATCAGTGCCAAGTTTGGTCCACATCCATCATTGTTTGAGTCCACATTGCTCTCTGTATGTAGGTGAACTACAACTCCAAAACTCACAGTCAATACCCACCAAACCCTTTCAGTATTTTCTGTTGGTCTGGGAGTTCTGTGTGCCATGTTTGATTCAATTCCATCAGTGGTGGCATTCAGAATGCTCTTTGATTGTTGGTGAACTATAAATCCCAACAACTACAATTCACAAATAATAAAATCAATCCCCCCAACCCCACCGGTATTCAAATTTGGGCATATCATGTAGTTGTGCCAAATTTCATCCAGTGATTGAAAATATGTCCTGCATATCAGATATGGTATTTACATTATGATTCATAACAATAGCAAAATTATAGTTGTGAAGTAGCAACAAAACTAATGTTATGATTGGAGGTCATCACAACATGAGGAACTGTATTAAGGGGTTGCAGCATTAAGAAGGTTGAGAACCACTACTCTAGTTCTGTTCAACTTCGATCAACCCCAGACAGGATGACCAATGGAATCTGGAGGGCAAATGTCTGTGAAGGATGCATTAAAACAAAGTTTCAAATAATGTTGTTCTTGTAGTTATCTATGTTGTTCTGTTAAAAAATACATCGTACAACTAAGCATTTATATTATAGAAAAGTTGAAACATAATTAAAAATCAACAAAATTACATGCAGTTAAAACCACAGCATTAAAAGGGGACAACAAATATAAACAACACAGCGCCTGAAAGACTTTTCTCCCCGAGGAGCCATCCTTCAAAGGTCTGCCAGAAGGAAAATCCCAGCAACTACAACTCCCAAATGTCAAGATCTATTTCCCGCAAAATCCACCAGTGTTCACAGTTGGGCATATTGAGTATTCATGCCAAATTTGGTCCAGATCCATCATTGTTTGAGTCCTGAGTGCTCTTTGGATGTAGGTGAACTACAAGTCCAAAACTCAAGGTCAATGCCCACCAAATCCTTCCAGTATTTTCTATCGGTCATGGGAATTCTATGTGCCAAGTTTGGTTCAATTATATCATTGGTGGAGTTCAGAATGCTCTTTGATTGTAGGTGAACTATAAATCCCAGCAATTACAACTCCCAAATGGCAAAATCAATCCCCCCCAACCCCACCAGTATTCAAACTTGGGCATATCAGGTATTTGTGCCAAATTTGGTCCAGTGAATGAAAATACATCCTGCATATCAGATATTTACATTACGATTCATAACAGTAGCTAAATTACAGTTATGAAGTAGCAATGAAATTAATTTGATGGTTGGGGGTCACCACAACATGAGGAACCGTATTAAGGGGTTACAGCATTACGAAGGTTGAGAAACACTGATCAGAGATAAGGGTCTATCCAGAACATTTCAGACATAGGTAGATGTATGGAAGGAGATATTAAATTTAATTTGTATGCTGCTATTCTCCCAAAGCTGTTCACAATAAGATACAGACATCAGGTAACTTGGTCCTGAATCATGGAAGGCTTTGTAGAACAGTGGTTCTCAACCTTCCTAATCCCGTGACCCCATAATCCAGTCCCTCATATTGTGGTGACCCCCAACCATAACATTGTTTTCGTTGCTACTTCATAACAGTCATTTTACTACTGTTATAAATCATAATGTAAATATCTGATATGCAGCATGTATTTTCATTCACTGGACCAAACTGGGCACAAATACCCAATACACCCAAATGTGAATGCTAGTGGGGTTGGGGGAGGACTGATTTTGTAATTTGGGAGTTGTAGTTGCTGGGATTTATAGTTCACTTATAATCAAAAAGCATTCTGAACTCCACCAGCGATGGATTTGAACCAAACTTGGCTCCCATGACCAACGGAAAACACTGGAAGGATTTGATGGGCATTGACCTTGAGTTTGGGAGTTGTAGTTCACCTATATCCAGAGAGCACTGTGGACTAGTGCAATAGTGGATCTGGACCAAACTTGGCACAAATACTCAATATGCCCAAATTTGAACACTGGTGGAGTATGGGGAAAATAGATCTTGACATTTGGGAGTTGTAGTTGCTGGGATTTATAGTTCATTACAATCAAAGAACATTCTGAACTCCACCAACAATAGAATTGGCTCAAACTTCCCACATGGAATCCCCATGAGCATCAGAAAATACTGTGTTTTCTTATGGTCTTTGGTGACCCTCTGACACCCCCTCACGACCCCCTCAGGGGTCCCGACCCCCAGGTTGAGAAACACTGTTGTAGAAGATGAGCAGCACTTTGAATTGTGCTTGGAAACAATCCAGCAGCTGGTGGGATTGTTGCAAGAAGGGCATTTCGTGCTTCCTGGAGTCAACCCCAGTTCATAATCTGGTTGCAGCTCTTTGGACCAGATGAAGTTTGCAAGCACTTTTCAAAACCAGATGAATAAATAAAAAAAATCTAAATTATAGGAGCAATCACAGAACTGATTGGCGCATCCAACCCCTTTGGAAAAGGTGCTTGGATGGGAAAGCCATTCTCTTCTCAGTGTTAGGAAAAAGCAGCATTGCATTTATAACGTTCATATTTGGACAAGAAAGAGTTATACACAGAAATAGCCAAGCAATTGGTTAAGACCGAGTCAGCTCTGGAGCGCAATCTGGATTCCTGCAGACTTACACAGACTTAAGCTAGTTGCACAGGCGTTTTAGTATTCTCAAGCTCTTAAGACTTTGGAGAAAAGAATTCAGGCTAGAAGTATATAGGGCACGAGGGCCTCTATAGATAATGCAGTGACACAGAAAAGGAACTTGTGTCATAGCAGATTGTCCGAGGAGTTCTTATGACAATCTCGCAGCTAAGAAGGCTAATGTGAACCCTGGGTGTGTAAGGAAGGGAAATATCAAGTGGGATTAGGAGCCAGTGGCATGGCCTTCCGTTTGACTGCAGCGTATAGGAAGACCAAGAGGGCAATATAATATGACCGGAGCATGGAAAGATGGCCAGCTTTGCAATTAAGGAGAATGAGGCACATGCCTCCAGCTAACCGCTTTAGTTATTTAATTGGTGTTGATGATAATTTTACAGATGGAAAATCAAAGGAGCACTTGTGAGATTTTCTGCCTCTAGTGCCAAAATAACCTAACTGACCTAGGATGCTATGTACCTTCATTTGAAGGGGGCATTTCCTGCTTAGTCTAAGGCAGCATAATATCCCCAGCTGACCTGGACATAAAGATGTGACTTGAAGGATTTGTGACACAATCTTTTTGCCTCATGTTAGACAACTCCGTGTGTGTGTGTATGAGTGTGTGTGTGAGAGAGAGAGAGAGAATGAGAGAGAGAGATTGAGAGAGGGAGGGAGATAGACTACGCTTCCGGGAGACTATATTTATAACTAGCTGTCCCCTGCCACACATTGCTATGGCCCAGTCTGGTGATCTGGAAAACAAAGTAATGAGAAAGTGTTGGTTTCTAATATATGTCATTTTTATGCTTGTGGGTAAACAGTATTTCTTCTTGTTTCTTTGTCAGTATTGATGTAGACATTGTCTGGTTTGCCTACTTTGGAACATACAACATATAATTGTCCTTCACCGGGGGCAGGAGCCCGCGGTGGCGCAATGGGTTAAACCCCTGTGCCAGCAGGACTGAAGACCGACAGGTCGCAGGTTCGAATCCGGGGAGAGGCGGATGAGCTCTCTCTATCAGCTCCAGCTCCTCATGCGGGGACATGAGACAAGCCTCCCACAAGGATCAAAACATCAAAACATCTGGGCGTCCCCTGGGCAACGTCCTTGCAGACGGCCAATTCTCTCACACCAAAAGTGACTTGCAATTTCTAAGGTCGCTCCTGACACGACAAAAAAAAATTGTCCTTTTTTAGGGGTCCCTTTCAAATCTGATACTATATCTGTTATATATGTATGTGTGTGTGTGTGTGTGTGTGTGTGTGTGTGTGTGTGTGTGAATCGTATCTATCTATTTATATCTATGGCTGGATGGCCCTTTGTCAGGAGGACTTTGGTTATGTTTTCTTGCCCTGGTGAAGGGAGTTGGAATGGATGGCCTTAAGGCAGTATTTATCAACCTGGGGGTCGGGACCCCTGCGGAGGTCATAAAGGGGTGTTAGAGGGGTCGCCAAAGACCATCAGAAAACACAGTATTTTTTGTTAGTCATGGGGTTTCTGTGTGTCAGTAGATTTTCTTAATTAGAAACATATCCATTTTCGTGACAATTACTGCAACTCACTCAACAAACCATGTACATTCTATAAGTTATAACAATACCTACACTTGGACAGCATCCACTTTTGTTTGTGTGTGCATAGCATTTTTCACACAACACACATAGTGACTACAGGTGACAAACTAGTGTGTCCCAATACACACTTTGGAAAGCTCTGATTTAATTATTTCCCTTCTATGCGTGTATTCCTAAAAAAAAAAAAATCACACAGATGCACAAAGTTGGGGAGAGGCTGTTTCTGTAAAAACGCCCTTAAACACCAGTCACTTTATTCCGTCTTTGCCAAATTGCAGAAGACAAACAAACTTCAGAAGACTGACATAAAAGTTTTTATTGCTTTAGACAGGGAGGATGTGCCTTAACCTTGGGTCAAAACTGATGGAATCTTTGGATTCCAGCGTGTTCCTCTGGATCAGTTCCTCTGGACTCAACCTGTGGATCCTCAGATGTTTTGGCCTTCAATTCCCAGAAATCCTAACAGCTGGTAAACTGACTGGGATTTCTGGGAGTTGTAGGCCAAAACACCTGGGGATCCACAGGTTGAGAACCACTGCTCTGGACTTTCCCATTGTAACATCCTATGGTGGTTCCTCAGTTTCCCCTCACTGCTAGAGACCAAGATGCCATTCTCTTAGTACTACCTGTAATAGCTTTCAGCTAAAGTATACTTGTATTTGTATTGGATTTTACAGAATAATAGAATCATAGAGTTGGAAGAGATCTTATGGGCCATCCAGTCCAACCCCCTGCCAAGAAGCAGGAAAGTTGTATTCAAAGCACCCCCAACAGATGGCCATCCAGCCTCTGTTTAAAAGCTTCCAAAAAAGGAGCCTCCACCACACTCCATGGCAGAGAGTTCCACTGCTGAACCACTCTCACAATCAGGAACTTCTTCCTAATGTTCAGATGGAATCTCCCTTCTTGTAGTTTGAAGCCATTGTTCCGCGTCATAGTCTCCATGGCAGAAAACAAGTTTGCTCTCTCCTCCCTGTGGCTTCCTCTCACATAGTTATACATGGCTATCATATCTCCTTTCAGCCTTCTCTTCCTCAGGCTAAACATGCCCAGCTCCTTAAGCCGCTCTTCGTAAGACTTGTTCTCCAGACCCTTGATCATTTCAGTCGCCCTCCTCTGGACACATTCCAGCTTGTCAATATCTCCCTTCAATTGTGGTGCCCAGAATTGGACACAATATTCCAGGTGTGGTCTAACCAAGGCAGAATAGAGGGGTAGCATGACTTCCCTGGACCTAGACACTATGCTCCTCTTGATGCAGGCCAAAATCCCATTGGCTTTTTTTGCCGCCACATCACATTGTTGGCTCATGTTTAACTTGTTGTCCACAAGGACTCCAAGATCTTTTTCACATGTACTGCTCTTCAGCCGTGCGTCCCCACGTCCCCCATTCTGTATCTTTGCATTTCATTTTTTGCATTTGCTTCCACCTACTACCAGAATATGGCCTCTGAGCACTTTTCATAAGTTGAATTCAGAGGAAAGTCAATTGGATTATACTATGCAGTACTTTTGGGAGGATGCATGCATGTGCATGTGTTAGCACACACATATACACATAGGTGATGCCTGCAAATCCTCCATACTTGTACCTAGCAAAGACACACAGTTTTGAGGGGTTTTTTACCTGGCAAAACTTTTAATTCATTTGGCAACAGCTTCTCATAGGTGTTAAAGATGCCAGCATCAGATATGACCACAGGTGCATAGATGTTCACAATATCCTGACCCTTCTTTACACTTACACCTGGCAAGAGAGAGAGAAAAAAGCTCTAAATGTATCAAAAATACATGACATAATTATTTAGATTGCTTCAAAGTCTTTATTTATTTACAACATTTCTACTCCACCTTTCTGAACCCGGAGGGGACTCAATGCAGCTTTACGTATAAGAAACTATTATTTATTTATTTATTTTTATTTTGTAGCAAAAGCATTGCATAAATTAGTATAAAACCAATAAAAATAGAAGGAGCACAGGTGGCTAAATATCATTTGACCAAAAACGGGCAACACCAATGGCATTGTTTGTAGCCTCCAACAATTCTTCCTTTGTACATGAGGCAGGGCATAGTGGACAAGCATACAGATGTGGAGTTGTCTGTTCTGCTCCACAGTCACACAAGGTGTGGGATTCTTTTATGTAGTGCCATTTTGCCAGGTTGTCTTTTGTTCTGCCCACTCCACTTCTGAGTCTGTTCAGGGACTTCCAAGTTGCTCATTCTTGGTTTGCCCCTGGAGGGAGACCCTCGTGGGGGGCCATCCAATTGGGATTTCCTGGTTTAGCTGCCCAGAGGGACACCCTTGCTGTTGCTGGGGGGACGCCAAGAGGAGTGGTAGTTCTCATAAAGCTTTCCCTTGATTTGAGTCTACTGGGAGGAGGCTGGTAGCTATGTAGTGGGTGGCTTTCACAGTGTTAACCTTATTTCTCCCACATTTAGGAACAACTTCCCATCATACATTGGGGCGGGGGCAATGCCAGCTAGCTTGTAGAGTTTATCAACAGGTGTAGGTTTAAGACATCCTGTGATTATTCTGCATGTTTCATTCAATGCTATGTTCACCTGCTTTGCATGGGCAGACCTATGCCAATCAGGGCAGGCATACTCAGCAGTTGAGTAAGACAAGGCCAGGGCTGATGTTCTTACTAATTTTGGGTCTGCACCCCATGTGCTGCCAGTAAGTTTCTGCAGGATGTTATTGCGTGCAGCTACTTTGTGCTTGGTGTTCAAATGGTGTTTCCTATATGCTAGTGTTCAATCCAAGGTGACACCGAGATATTTAGGATGGAAACAATGTTCAAGTTCTTGACCTTCCCAGGTGACTTTCAATTTCCTGTTGGCTTCACGGTTGCGTAGGAAACTATTGGATGCCATTAAAACAATGTACAATTTAAATGAACATTTTAAAATAGAATTATAAAATACATCAAAAGTTGAAAACATTTGAACCTATATCACTACTGTTAAACCATGCTATCTAAAATCGTAATCCAGGCTGTTACAAAAACGGTTCTGGCCCAACTTACCTGTCCGAACGTATCTTCCCTTACGAACCACTGAGGACTTTAAGATCATCTGGGGAGGCCCTGCTCTCAGTCCTGCCTTCGTCACAAGCACGTTTGGCAGGGATGAGAGACAGGGCCTTCTCAGTGGTGGCCCATCTGCTATGGAATGCCCTCCCTAGGGAGATCAGGTCTGCTCCCTCCCTCTTGGCGTTTCGGAGGCAAGTTAAAACGTGGCTATTCGAGTAAGCGTTTACAAATACAGAGTAGCTAATATAGGAAATCGAATGACCTGGCAATGGAATTGGACAATGCTTGAGAATAATGAGACGCTGATGATATTGCTTTTATTGCTTTTGTGATGTCTTATACTGTTTAATGTTTTTTATCTATTATGTTTTATGTATACTGATTTGTTGGAAACTGCCTTGAATCGCCAATTGGCTGAGAAAGGCGGTATACAAATACAGCAAATAAATAAATAAATAAATAGTCCTTGCACATAATTCCATATCTGTCTATTTTACAAGTTCTCTAAAGGCTTGATCACAGTGCCACGTTTTCACTCTTGCGAAAGATGCCAATTTAATATTCCTGGGAGGGAATTCCACAGCCGAGGGGACACCATTGAGAAGGCCCTGTCTCTTGTCTCCCCCTATCCGCACCTGTGAAGGAGGTGGGACCGAGAGCAGAGCCTCCTCAGACGATCTTAAAACTCCGAGATGGTTCATGGGGGAGATCCGTTCACACAGGTAAACTGGGCCAGAACTGTTTAAGGCTTTATAGGCTAAAGCTAGCACTTTGAATTGTGCTCAGTGGCAGACTGGCAGCCAATGGAGTTGACGCAACAGGGACATCGTATGCTTTATAGAGATAAGGCAAAATTCACACATCAAGACAGTAATCTGCAACCACATATGTCAGGTCATTCTGCAGATGGAGCTGGTGCATATGCAGTGATCAATATTACAGACAATGCTTCCATTAGCAACAGAGGCTCAGTGTAATTAAAGAGAGGATTTAAGCAGATAAGCCTCTTAAACACCTTCAAGAGAGTTTCATGTAGGTGGGAAGCACTTTGGCAGGATTGTTTATTTCCTTAGACCATGGAAAGGTACAACCTTCTGTTGTACCTTTCCATTTGCTCATCCATGTAAAGGCTAAGGATGGAGCAGTGTTGACTTTTTTGCAGACATTTGGAGACACAAAAGACAACTTAAAGCAAGTGCTCTGAACTCACACTTTTTTTCTTTTTATGCAAGAAAACAAGAGTGCTGTGTTTCTATTTTAATTTAATATCTTAAGACAGCATTTCTCAACCTGGGGTTCAGGACTCCTGGGGGGTCGCAAGGGGATGCCAGAGAGGTCGACAAAGATCACAAGAGGGTTCTGTGTGGGAAGTTTGTCCCAATTCTATTCTATTTTTATTTTTTACTGATGTATTATTTTTTGTTGTATATTTGCTTTGTTGTAATTGTTGGGCTTGGCCTCATATTAGCCGCCCCGAGTCCCCTTGGGGAGATGGTGGTGGGTTATAAATAAAGTTATTATTATTATTATTATTATTATTATTATTGACACAAAAGCACAGTATGTCACAAACAAGACCTATATGCTGGATTTCGTATCACAAAATCACAAGTCGAACACTTCCCAAGTGTCTAGGACTGTGTGATGTACGAGGGATATTTTAGGTAAAGTTCGTTTTGTTGTAGACATTAGTAGTTCGCATGCGCATACCGCAACGAGTGTGTGCGTCGTGTACTGGCATGCCTCGGGAACAACTGTGCTCAGTTTCCGCTCTGTAGCTAACCTGTATGGTTCTGTTCTGTGCTTTAAAAATGTTTAAGACTATCAACTCACCCGCCGATGAATTTCTGCAGCAGGCAGGTTCCTTGCTGACAAAAACCGTATCACTGAGCGAACCTCACATGCGGCGGGTGAGTTGATAGTCTTAAACATTTTTAAAGCACAGAACAGAACCGTACAGGTTAGCTACAGAGCGGAAACTGAGCACAGTTGTTCCCGAGGCATGCCGGTACACGACGCACGCGCTCGTTGTGGTATGCGCGCGAACTACTAGTGTCTACAACAAAACGGACCTTACTTAAAAAATACTCCTCGTATTTTTGAATGATGCGCGCAGATCCGAGTAAGGTGGTCTTTTGCAGTTGACAGATCATGATTTTGTCAATGTTTATTGTTTCCAAATGCCAGTTGAGATCTTTTGGCATGGCACCCAGTGCGCCAATGACCACTGGGAATACCTGTACTGGTTTATGCCAGAGCCTTTGCAGTTCGATTTTGAGGTCTTGATAGCAGCTGAGTTTTTCCTATTGTTTTTCCTATTATTATTATTATTATTATTATTATTATTATTATTATTATTATATCATTGGTGGGGTTCAGAATGCTCTTTGATTGTAGGTGAACTATAAATCCCAGCAACTACCACTCCCAAAGGACAAAATCAACCTTCTTCACCAACCCCACTAGTATTCAAATTTGGGTGTATCAGGTATTTGTGCCAAATTTCATCCAGTGAATGAAAATCCACCCTGCATATCAAATATTTACATTACAAATCATAACAGTAGCAAAATTATAATTGTGTAGTAGCAACAAAAATAATGTTATGGTTGTGGGTCACCACAACATGAGGAACTGTATTAAGGGGTTGCTGCATTAGGAAGGTTGAGAAACACTGTCTTAAGAGATGTTTGGAAGAGATAAAGGTGGAGTTAAAATCTAGGAATATAAAGGTTAATGGGCCCAAACTGCCTGTTGGATGTTAGAGATGATAAAATATACTCCAACACCAAACAGGATGAATCAAGAACATACTTTTCTTGGTGCACAAATATTTTAGCGACTACAGCCCATGGTTTCACAGGGAAAAAAGAGACTGCTAGCCCAGTTTAACTCACCACATGCTTTTCCTTGAGGATCCACCAAGATGCTCTGTACAGGTGCCTTGGTCAGAACAGTCCCGCCCGATCGTTCAATGATGGGGATGGACTGAAATACAATTTCACTGGAGCCTCCTTGAGGATACCACCCACCTCCGAAGAAGTGCTCAACAAGGACTGCATGTAACGAAAAGCTGGCCTTGGAAGGGATCACTCCTAGGACACATGCAGAGAGAGAAGAACAGGGGTCTGAGTAAGTAGCTGCAATGAGCAATGCCTAAGCAAGAAGTGAAGGTACCTTCACCAGGGGCTTTGAGGGAAGGGGCAGCGTTTATTTCTCATGCTGCCTCTGGCTCAGCTTCTGGGGACTCCTTGGTGCTGCTGGACTCTATCTTGACTGGCCTCCCTTTCAGCATCCTTGGGTCTGCACAGAGATACCAACATTTGTTTCTCCCAGACATGGCCCTTGATTCACCTGAGCCCTCTCTTGAGTGAGCACTGCCACCCTGGTGTGGCATCTCATTCTTCCCCTGATAGAACATTTGCTCGGTTAAAACTATTTTTAATAGGTTTTATTGCATTTATATGTTTTAAATATTTTATAATTTGATATGTTAAATGTATTATTTGTTGTTGCATTTACTGCATTTATATGTTTTACTTATCTTATAATTTGATATGTTAAATTTATTATTTGTTGTTTCATTTACTGCATGTATATGTTTTAATTGTTTTATAATTTGATATGTTATTTTTATTATTTGTTGTATGATGCGGCATTGAATATTGCCATAATCTGTAAGCTGCTCTGAATCCCCTTCAGGGTTGAGAAGAGCAGGGTATAAATACAGTAAGTAAGTAATTAAATAAATAAATAAATGTGTGAGGTTTAGCAGAGGAATCATTTGGCTCCCACCAAACAGCAAAAATGTACTAGAAAAAAAAATCTTTCTCTTGATAGTTTACTCTATATCAGTCATGTGTAACTTTACTAATGGGGTGGAAATTACACCATAGATATTGCTCTTTTTATCACCAACTAGACTAGAGGGATATTTTTTTTCCATCTGCTTGCCCTGAGGCTCTGATGTGGTATATAGTTGTGGGCACCATGGTGTGCTGGTTGTCAGCCGCTCTGAGTCTCTCTGCTGAGGTCGAGATAGGACAGGATACAAATGTCCGAAATAAATAAATAAATAAATAAAAGACCCCCTTGAAATTTGGCAGATAGCACTCGAAGAGAAACCTTTTCAGTTGTGACTCTTTAGAATGTACATCCCAGCAATGCATACCTGGCAGGAATGCCAGGAATCCTGGGAATTATATCTGGAAACATCTGGAAGGCACCAAGTATGGAAGGGCAAAAGAGACTAAACTGATGGTCCAATGGACTGATGTAATTTAAAGTTCTTTCCAATACTCCTTAATACACTCCTTAATGAAAGCAGCAGCCCTTTCTTTCCTTTTCCTTTCCCTTCCTCATTTTTGTATACAATCACTTTCAAAACTCATGCCCTTTCTTTCCTTTCCCTTCCTCGTTTTAGAATATGGTCACCCATGACATGATGTGGTTGTGTTGACATTTTCCACCTTCACTCTACTTCACTGCTTTCTACTTACAAACACAAGGAATTTAAGTCAAATGGTATACTTAATTTAACTGGATGGTCCAAGAAGGACAAAAAAGTGGGAATTTTTCTATCATTGGCAGATATATTTCCCACGTTGCCTACCACAAGAGTCATCAACTTGATGATCATCTGTGCCTTAGTGTCTCTGGGAACTCCTCAATTGTTTCCTGCATCTCCCCATTTAATATTTCTTTGTATTGTCAAAGGCTTTCATAGCCAGAATCACTGGGTTGTTGTAGGTTTTTTCAGGCTATATGACCATGTTCTAGAGGCATTCTCTCCTGACGTTTTGCCTGCATCTATGGCAAGCATCCTCAGAGGTTGTGAGGTCTCACAACCTCTGAGGATGCTTGCCATAGATGCAGGCAAAACGTCAGGAGAGAATGCCTCTAGAACATGGTCATATTTCTTTCCCACCCACCCCCCTCAGTTTTTTTTTGCCTTGAGATCTTGATACAAAACAGCAAAGATCTATATTTCAGCCACATCACTCGTCTATCTTTTGCTCTTTAGAATGACTTTGGGGCCCACACTCCTTTCCACAATTTGGAATGCCCTGGCCTCTAGAAGATTATTCTCATTCAGTGGTTCCCAACCTGTGGTCCGTGGACCACCAGTGGTCCCAAGAACTAATATATGTTCCGCAGCCTCACCGTTACTACACCATTGCAACAAGAGTGACCTGTCTTGTGGAACCCTCTTATAGTGCCAAGACAACAGGGATGTCAGGAGAGGAGAGGCTGACTACCCACTAAAGGCATGACAACAAGATCCCTGATTGCTGCTTCTCTTCTCCCTCCCTGAAGCTGTTCCATGTGGCACCTTGAAATGGGGGTGTCTTTGCTTTTAGGCCTGATCCTGGGGTTATTTGAGATGCTGATTCAGAAAACTGCATTGGATAGACCACATCAGCTCTAGATTATTAAATACTAGCTTGGGGACCCGGCGCTGCCCGGGTTATTTGAGAAAGGAATTGTGTATCAAGGTTGGTCTTTATCAGTTATTTATATGGCTCGCAGTGGTCTCAGGAAGTTAGTGAAGGTACTGCGAGTCCCATCATCGGGTCCATCCTTCTCCAAATTGCACCAGAATGGAGAGTGGGTCGTGGGGGCTCTGTGCACCAAGTTTTGTTCTTGATCAATCATTGGATGAGGGTCACAGTGGTCCCAGAAAGTGAGTTAAGGAACTGCAAGTCCCATCCTCCATAGTCTGTTCTCCCCAAACCTCACCAGAATGTTGAGTTGGCCAAGGGGGCTCTCTGTGCCAAGTTTGGTCTTTCTTGGTATTTGTATAAGTGTTACTGTGGTTTCAGGAAGTGAGTGAAGGTACTGGAAGTCCCATCATTCATCATCCGTCCTCTTCCAAACAGCATCAGGATGTAGAGTGGGTCATGGGGGCTCTGTGTGCCAAGTTTGGTCTTGATCGGTCATTAGATAAGGGTTGCAGCAGTCTTGGGAAGGGAGTGGAGGTACTTGAAGTCCCATCATCCATGGTCTGTCCTCCTCAAAAGTGCACCAGGATGTAGAGTGGGTCATGGGGACTCTGTGTGCCAAGTTTGGTCTTGATCAGTCATTGGCGAGGGTCTCAGTGGTCTCAGGAAGTGAGTGAAATGACTGCAAGTGCCATCATCCATTGACAAATTCTTCCAAACCACACCAGGATGTAGAGTGGGTCATGCGGGCTCTCTGTGTAAATTGTGGTCCTGATCAATCATTGTTGGTAGTTGTAATTCTCTTAGGAAGGGAGTGCAGGTATTGCAAGTTCCATCGTCCATGGTGCATCCTCCTCCAAACTCCACCAGGATGTAGAGTGCATCATGGAGACTCAGTGTGCCAAGTTTGGTCTTTATCGGTTATTGGATGAGGGTTGCAGTGGTCGCAAGAATCGAGCAAAGGTACTGCAAGTCCCATAATGCATGGACCATCCCCGGCCAAACCACACCAGGATGTAAAGTGGGTCATGAGAGGTCTATGTCCCAAGTTTGGTCCTGATCAGTCATTGGATGAGCTTTACAGCGGTCTCAGAATGTGAGTGATGGTACTGCAAGTCCCATCATCCATGGTTCATCCTCCTCCAAACTGCAGTAGGATGTCGAGTGGGTCTTGCGGGCTCTGTGTGCCAAGTTTGGTCTGTATTGGTTATTTTCTGACTCAGCCCCCTCTGGCCTTTTCCTTTCCTCTCTTTGTCATCTCGGAATCTTGGAATTGTGGCTGGCCAATCAGAGACCATATGCAAATGTCCTTCTCTCGTGTCTCCGTTTCTGTCATGAACCCTTTTCTCCACCAGGGGCTCCTCTTGAAGCTGGCCAATCAGAGACCATATGCAAATAGCACCACAGTGGCAGCCAATCAGAATGCTGGCACAAACCCCTCCACCCTACATCCTTCCTCTGTCCGTCGCATACAAACATTCTCTTTTATTATATTTATAGATAGATGGTTTCTGTGGGCAAGCAGATGGTGACTACTGGATGGCATATGTTCTGTATCAGAAATTAGAGCTGATGTGATCTATCCCTTGAAATGTTCTGAATCAGCATCCCAAATAACCAAACTGAATCTAAAGGTGACCAAAAACTGATTTGTAACCCTTTTTTTGACAAATGTTGGAGAGTGGTCCGTGGTCATCGTGGTCCCTGGTCAAAACAAGGTTGGGAACCACTGTTCTAGTTAAGAGTCACATTTCGAAGAGGTCTCTTTAATCCCTCTTAATGATGGAGAAACCATTGTTCTTTGAAAATATATGCATTGAGGATTATTGCCACTTACCATAGGTAGGGAAGATATAAGTGAACACTGCCTTCAGGTCTGCATTTGAAGTTATCTCAGCTACGACGTTCAAAACATTTTTGGACAACATCCTGAAGAAAGGACAGACCAAGGCCAGCAAGCCACTGCGATGCAGAAACATGACCAAGGGGATCGGGAGCATTTTCAGTATAGCCATGAGGGCACATCCTTTGGAAACTTTCTGCAAGGAGTGGGGACAGAATGAGAAAGAGACAAAGTATGTGTTAAACAGGTATTTCCATGACGAACTGGGAAATCTCAGTATACAAGCAAATAAACTACTTATTTTGGCATCTATCTCCTCTGACTAGAGCAGTGGTTCCTAACCTGTGGTCCATATACCACCAGTGCTCCACAAGAACTAAATTATGGTCCACGGCCTCACTGTTACTACACTGTTGCAATGAGAGTGACTGGTCTCACAAAACCCTCTTATAGTGCTGAGGCTTATTAAATATGGTTTGCTGTGAGGGAGCAGATGCCAACTACTGGATGGCATATGTTCTGTATCAGAAACTAGAGTTGATGTGGTTTATCCAATGGAATTTTCTGAATCAGCACCCCAAATAACCAAACCAAATCTAAAGTTGACCAAAAACTGATTTGTAACACTTTTGGTCCCTGGTCAAAAAAATGGTTGGGAACCACTGGACTAGAGGAAACACAAATATGCTGAATGTAGAAATGGTAGCCTGCTGCCCATAGATGCTATAACGAGTAACATTATTGACCACTGATTTAACAATGCAGCCATAAGAGATATGATAGAGCTATACTCTATGGAGCCCCCGGTAGCGCAGTGGGTTAAAGTGCTGAGCTGCTGAGCTTGTTGACGGAAAGGTCGCAGGTTCAAATCTGGGGAGCGGCGCAAGCTTCCACTGTCAGCCCCAACTTCTGCCAACCTAGCAGTTCGAAAACCACCATGTCAGACTACACAGAGAAGCCATTGAAATACAGAAGCATGTGGACAATTTCAACAGAAAGGAGGAAACCATGAAAATGAACAAAATCTGGCTACCAGTATTAAAAAACTCTTAAAATTATAACAGCACAACAACAGAGAGGAAACAAACAAGGACATCTAATCACCTCTCAACAAAAGTTTGCTCCAGGCACTGTCAGGCCATTATATGCTAATCAAGGTGGTCAGCTGAAACATTCACACCTAGCTCCAACAGACAAGAGCCCTTTGTCCCACCCTGGTCATTCCACAGATATATAAACACTTTTTCCTAGTTCTAACAGACCTCACTGCCTCTGAGGATGCTTGCCATAGATGCAGGCGAAACGTCAGGAGAGAATGCCTCTAGACCAGGGGTCCACAAACTTTTTAAACAGAGGGCCAGGTCACAGTCCCTCCAATTGTAGGAGGGCCGGATTATAATTTGGAAGAAAACATGAATGAATTCCTATGTACGCTGCTTATTTGTAGTGTAAAAAACACTTAAAAACAATACAATAATTAAAATGAGGCGCAATGTTAACAAATATAAACTTATTAGTATTCCAATGGGAAGTGTCGGCCTGCTTTTGTCTGATGAGATAGGATTGTTGTTGTTGTGTGCTTTCAAGTCGTTTCAGACTTAGGTTGACCCTGAGCGAGGGCCAGGTAAATGAC